GTGTGGGTGTGGGTGTGGGTGGGTGTGAGTGTGGGTGTGGGTGTTGGTTGGGTGGGTGTGGGCATTCATGAGACACACCCACACATCCACACCCCATACCTACACCCACACCCACCCACACCCTAATGTTCAATGATCAATTATTTATGGATAGAGCCATAAACGCTTCTTAATCCACCGCTGACATTACACAATTCTCGCATGACTTTGTATCTTCTCTATTCTTCAAGACTTAAGGTTGTGTCGTCAAAGAAGCTCTAGTAGAAGATGATTGTATAGTATCACTTATTCTACTGCATCAGAATTTTCGAGTAGATGAAAGGCATATCGTAATTCAAGAATGCAATCGATTTCTAATCTCAGCTCTTCCCGCTGACTTCCAAGTACTCAAGGTTTTGTTTGATAAAAGAACTCAAGGTCTCAATAATAAGTTGATTCATTGATCTAGTACCATAGTAGATTTGTACTTGATTGCCATGTAATAATTTTTCGCCCATAACTTCGAATGAAGTATTCTTTTGCGTGAGAAAAAAATTTCCATTCAATAGCTTTCTGTTTAGAGCATCACTAGTGACACTTTGATGTGCGACTGATAAAATAACATCAATAAATAGCATCTAATTAAGGACAAGTATTGTTCTGCACATGACGTACACAATAATTTACACACATTTTTATACTGATATCTTTTTTTTCTTCACTTCTAGCTCGTTGGCTCCTTGTTACTTCTTATGTAATTGATAGTCACTGTCAAAAAGAATAACTTGTTGGATGCTGCACGCAGCAAATAATGGATAGAAAGATCTGCACCAAATCTGCATTCATATCTATGAAAATGCATAAAGAGTGACGGTAAATAGAATATACATGTGTTGATGAGAATAAACTCATGTTGTTTTAAGGTAAATATAGTCAACATGATGATGTATTTGCTGTGCGTCGACACGTCACATTAATTTCTTCTCCACATCCAAGTTATCGCACAGTATGACTCTCATTTTAAAGACTTTTACATGAACAGAAATAAATACGGAAGAAAAGAACTACATTACTATAAAGACAGGATTTGCGCAGAATTTTTTTCCTTTTTTATTATTATCACATCGATAATGAAAGCCAGGTCTAAATCATGCTTCCAAGAGTTGCGACGAAGCACAGCGATTTTTATCAAGAAAAAACAAAAGATGTTTCTTGCTATCACAGGAATAGCAAAAGAAATGTGCACTTTAGTGAGCTAAACATACATTTGACGTTGGCGTTCTATTGACAGAGAGAAAGAAAGTGGAAGAAAAAAAGTCATTGCTCTTCATTTGCGCACTCTTCTAATCATGAACGTTTTAAGAATTCTCATATTTTTCACTGCTTATTTATTGATTGATACTCGTTTTTCGATGTATCAATCAGATCAATATGGATTAAACCATGCCACAAATATATACTTCGATTGTTTGTACGCTCATCTGATCGATGATTCGAATCAGAATCAGGAGCCTTACATTCGCAACTCTCATTTGATTCCATACTGCAGACGACCTGATCTGAAAGATGATCTACATTCAGTAACTCTGAACAACAAAGCAGCACAAATCATCAGCTTTGCTACATTATCTAAGCAAGGTATTACCGGCGAGCAGCTACTCGCTTGGTCAGTACCAATCGATGTAGCTGAGCATTATGAAAAAAATCATGGCAACATCGATGAAGTTCTGTACAATTGTTCATTTCCGTGGTTCGGTCCAATGTGTCAATATTACTTAGATAATGCTACTTTGTTCTCATTTAGTGATATTGTTCGATCAAACTTTGCTAATCGTTCTCCCACTATGATTAATATCACCACTGGTACATGTTACTCATTGTTGCCCAACTGTGATCGTGGTCCATGGCCACTATGTTTAGATTGGCGTGAAATTTGCGATCAGAAAATCGATTGTCTTAATGGAGAAGATGAGATGTGGTGTCAAGTTTTAGAAATAACAAAATGTGCAGAAGATGAATATCAATGTCACTATGGTGGTCAATGTATTCCATTAGAATTCTTACGCGATAGTCGAGTCAGTGTCGATTGTCTCGATGCTAGTGACGAACCCGAATTTTATGTTGTACCGCTATTCCCATCATTTAATTGGAACTGTATCAATATTCCAACTTTTCAATGTGAAGAACGTACTGCTCGGTATGGTCGCTCATTTCCTTGTGGTGATGGAGAATACATCTTGAGAAATATTATGCCAGCACCACGAACTTACTGCCAGAATCAGCGTGACAAAGAATTCACTCGTATTCTTCTCACATCTCTTGATTTTATGCCAGATGATGACTGTCGACATGCATTCTTTTGTTCCTTGCATGCCAATCGTAGTTTTGGTAAGTTAAAAAAGACGAGAGGTTAATTAAAGAGAATGCTGAGTTAAACAGAGGATTTCCATATTCAATATTACGTAGCACAGAATTGATTTTTCGTGTTTAGGCTTTGCATTTGATTATATTGATGTATTGAACATCGAACGAATATTCGAAGGTCCATGCGAGCCATTAGCTGTACATTGTCGCACGGAATGGGTATTTTTGCCACACCAACCCATCTTCTTTGGTCTTTTTCAATTACTATACTTCACTAATCGATCAGTCATCGAATTTCAACAGAACATCGCTCCGGATTTGATCTGTTTTAGGATACAACAATGTCCAGCTTTGTATTCTTGCACAGTTCAACTTCGATTCGATGACGGAATCATCTGTTGCCGCGCTGATCAGCTTCTTGAGAAAATGATAATTTATGATTTCAATGAAATATTCACGGTCTTCGTCGAATTATATTATTACTGCACCACGCGTGGAATCGATCGATCATGTGTAAATGCTTCATTTTTTCACTGTGAGCAATCTTTGAAATGCATTGCCATTCATCGAGTCGCCGACGGCTTTCCCGATTGTTTCTATGGTGAAGATGAAAACTTTTCCGCTTGTCATCTCAATGATTCTCACCGCTTTGTTTGCCTATCAAACTCGACAAAATGTTTATCACCAGTGACGCTCGGTAATAAAGCTGCCGACTGTCCTGATAGCGAAGATGAACAAGCCTTCACTGGATTGACTATAATCAAACATATTCCATTCGCCTATGTGTGTGATGATTGGATCGACTATAGAGTTGTCGGTCAAGAAGAAACTGATGAGACGCATTGTGAATGGTGGCCATGCAATAATGTCTATGTGCGTTGCAACAAACATTGGGATTGTATGAATGGTATTGATGAACTTGGTTGCTCATATAGCCATTGTGCATTGAATGAACATCTGTGTCAAGACACCATCAATAATGGTCAATTGTATTGTCTTCCATTAGAATACATCTTTGAAACCTATCTTGATCCATGTGTTAACCCTTTTTATCATCGAGTGATAACTTTTGAGAATCGTACGGATTTGAATAACACTATCGCCTGGAAGAAAGCAGCTTGTATCACAAATGACATGTTGTGTCGTCGGCACAATTCATCGATTGTAGTCCACAATGAAACTTGTTTGCGAGAGTCCGCTCTTTCGTCTTATTCATATAAAGCCATTACATTTGGTAAGAACACGATACATCAATGCTCATTTTTTGTAAACAATCACGGCTCTTCACGTAGTCCATTCTTCAATCCATCTCGATTGGGATATGTCCCATCCATCTCAACAAATTCCTCGATGAATAATAAATTATGGAGCAATCAGTCTGTATCTCGTGATTCGGCTATCAATCATGACAATAGTTGGTTTTGTCATCGAGGTATTCTTGTAAAATCGGGCGCCAATCATACTCATCAATGTCTTTGTCCACCAAGTTATTACGGCACTCAATGTCAGTGGCAAAGTCAACGTGTCAGTTTGACTCTTCAACTTGTATGGCGTAGTCTTACTGTCACACCGATGGTTTTTCGAGTGATAATTATGCTAGTCGATCAATTTGAACGTATTGCACCCAACCATGAGCAAATCACCTTTATTCCTACTCGTGACTGTAGAACTAAATTCAATATCTATTTATTATATCCAGATCGACCAAAAAACACAGCACTGATCTATTCAATTCATATTGATATTTTTGAGCTAACTACCATGATCTATTGGGCCAGTTGGTTTCTTCCCATCACATTTCCATTTTTGCCCGTCAATAGAGTAGTTTCACAGTTATTCATTCCTGATCGACCACAAGTTGACTCATGTTCATTGTCTTGTGAAGATCATGGCCGATGCGTTCGATACATCAATCAAAAGTCTCAGTACTTCTGTCAATGTAATCCAGGTTATTCAGGTTCCACATGTCATCAAACTCATATGTGTCATTGCTCAGATGATTCAATATGTCTCTCTCCGACCATCTGTGTATGTCCGCTGAACAAATTTGGTTCTCAATGCTACCTAAAACGATCGATATGTCATCGAAGCAATAATCCTTGCCAAAATCAAGGACACTGTGTACCAAGTGATGATCGCATTGATTTACAAGAGGCCACTTGTCTTTGTACGCCCAACTATTCAGGACTACGATGTGAATTCAAGAATTCATATGTCAAAATTCAAATGAAAGATAGTATAGTAGGCACAGACTTGACAGCACTCATTCATATCATCACTGCTTTTCATACATCGAAACATGAACGAACGACTGTTTTTAAAAAAATAACTTTCGACCAACACATGATCACACTATATATTTCTCAACCATTTCATATTATTTTCGTGGAACTTGCCAAACAACATTACTATTTGGCAGTAGTTCGTCAAACTTTCATAGCTTCGGAATTCATTCATACTGTGATTGGTTCGAAACAACGTTGTGCAATGATTGATGAAGTTCTCAACTCGACATTTCTTGCCTATGAATCAATTCGTCGCATCAAATACTATCCATATGTCTGTCGAGAGAATCCGATGTTGATGTGTTTCTATGACGAAATCTACATGTGTATATGTGATCTAGATCGCTTTGCCAATTGTTTCGATTTCTATCAGGATCACTCATATAATTGTCAAGGCTTCAATGACTGTGAAAATGGTGGTCAATGTTTTCAGAATAATGAAACATGTCCAACTATGTCGATGTGCTTATGTCCAGAATGTTTCTACGGAACAAAATGTCAATTTTCTACGAAAGCTTTTACACTCACTCTTGATCCGATACTTGGCTATCATATTAAACCGTATATACCATTTAGTCGTCAACCATCAGTGGTCAAGTTCAGTACGATCATTATCACAATAATGTCTATAGTTGGTTTCATCAGTGGATTTCTATCAATTTGGATTTTTCGCACTGCTTATTCAAGAGAAACTCATTGTCGTTACTATCTTATTATGTCATCGACACTCTCAATGTGTACTATTATTATGTTAGCGATCAAATGCTGGTTATTGATTTTTTCACAAATGGCATTGATTACCAATCGATTATTGCTGAGCAGTCATTGTCACATTATTGATGTCTTACTAAAAGTTTTCTTGGCATCAGGTGAATGGCTCAATACATGTATAACTGTTGATCGAACATGGACCCTGCGTTTTGGTGTCACTTTAGATGAAAACAAGAAAAAACGCACAGCAAAACTCATTATCTTCGGCATACTTCTCTTCACTAGTATTACTCATCTGCATGATCCATTTCATCGTCAATTGATCGATGATTTTGATGCGGATGAAGAGCGCATCTGGTGTTTTGTACGATTTTCTCCGCAATTTGAGATATTTAATTCATTTATCACACTGTTTCATGTTCTCGTTCCCTTCTCTATTAATTTTATCTCGGCTATTGTCATTCTTGTTCTGTTAGCACGCACTTATTCGCATGCGCAGCCGGAACACTCATTTCAACAACATCTTCGACAGCAATGTCATCTACACAACCAACTTCTTTATCCACCATTCATTCTAGTCATCTTAGGGTTGCCGCGTCTAATTATCGCCTTCATGAATGCTTGCATGAAATCTGGACAGCATACATGGCTTTTTCTTTTCGGTTATCTTTTGGCGTTTGTTCCTTCAACATTAACCTTTGTTATCTTCATATTAACACCGAAAGTTTATAGGCGACGATTTCATGCTGCTGTTCAACGTGCTTTATGACGATTTCGACTAGCAGTTTGACCTATTATATTACTTTTTCTTTTTTCGATTCACTAAAGATCAATCTCAGTGTAATTCAGCTATTCTTTTACAATATGAAGAATAAATTCAACATACCAAAAGGCAGAATTTCATCAATCCGAAAGTTGTGAATTCAGATGTGGGATATAGGTGAGATTGTGAGATGTGGATAGCTTTGGCACAGATGATCAGATTGCTTAAAGAATAGAGTATATACAGAAGATTTTGTGAAATAATCAATGAATATAAAATCTAAACATGTCTAAATAATGAAAGAAGCCATCAAAATGATATGTATATAAATAAACTGTGATTGAATAGGGTGTGGGTGTGTGGGCGTGGGTGTGGGGTGTGAGTGTGGGTGTCGGTGTGGGTGTGGGTGTCGGTGTGAGTGTGGGTGGGTGTGGGTGTGGGTGTGGGTGTGGGTGTGGGTGTGG